TCTTTTGATTGGCATCCCACACTCCGTCCTGTCTGTTGAAAGGAACTCTACATGGGAGCTAATGGTGCCATCTGTAAGCTGTTTAATTGGCCAAGGGGGTCACTTGCTTTGGATGAAAAACGGTCATCTTCTTGGTAGAGTCTGACCCAGGACATTCAAGACCCAAAATGCCTGGTGTTTGGGTTGGGCTGGCTGCTGAGTTATCCATTCATTAAACTCCAAGGCCCCACATCTCATCCCCACACCTGCGGTGCTTTGGATCACCGAGGAGCCATCTTTACCACCAGCATCTTTTGTCAATTACTCCCAGAAGCTGGGTCACCAGAAAGGGGGAAAAGGTGGCCCTGGATTCCTTCCCTCCTAGGACCTCACATTCTAAAACTGTCCTGATTTTTTACTTAGGGAGAAGTAAAGGGAGTTTCAAAATTGATATGTAAATTTAATGGCATTGAGTGTTGCATTTTAAATTTTCATTGTTTAACAAGTAGAGCATCTAGTTGTTGAGAGACCGAAGCTCTCTTTGTGTGTGATTAGTTTATTAAGAGTTTCCTCTCTGATCTTCCTTTCCTGCCTTCCTCTCTCTTCAGTCTTCTGGGAACCCTGCAGAATAGCCATGTGCACCACTCAAACCAGTAACTGGAGATTTGAGATCTGGCAGCTTGAAAGCCTCGGTGGAAACTTCTGATGGCCATCCCTTGGGGGAAGTGGATTAATTGTTATTTTGGGAGGAGGAGAGACACTTTCTCCCTGGAGCTTCACAAGAGCAATGGGTTGAGAGTTTTGTGGGGGGTTTTTTGTTTTGTTTTGTTTTCAATGCTTATTTATTTTTGAGAGAGAGAGAGAGATAAAGCGTGAGGGGGGAGGGGCAGAGAGAGAGAGGGAGACACAGAAATCTGAAGCAGGCCACCCTGGGACCGCCCCTCCTTCCCCAGATGCAGCACCAGGACCCTCTGCCCTCGCACTGCCCCTTGAGCTGCCCTCCCGCTCATTAGGCCTGGACAGACACAACCGGGAATGTTCATTGCAAGAGTGAGCGATACACACTGGTGGGACAAGGGACCCACTGCCAGCGTGGTCTGGAAAGAAGAAACCAGGCCTGGGACTGCAGCTTTTTATTCCCATGGGGCCACAACATCCGATCAAGGTTGGATACCCTCAAGAGTTGTAAGACACAGAATCCTCCGTCTGGATTGTCATCACTCGGTTTATCATAATCCTTACCTATGGCCATCCCTGGATACCCTAGAATTCCCCATGCCTTGATACTTTTTTTCTCCAGATCTTTCCTTAGGAATCAGAGATGAAGGGGTTAACTTGAAATGTATTAATGCAGACAAAGTGCTCCCAGGTGGAGCGGCAGATGTGTCAAGTCCCCACTTCACCCAGCTCCATTTCCTCCTCTCCCTCCTCCCCTGTCCCTCAAGCACACAAGTACCCCAAGCTGGCAGAAACCCTCTGATGAGCCAAACTGGCTGCTGTTGTTTTGTTTTTCATTTATTAGCCCAGGTGAAAGCAGCTCAGCACTGCCCAAGGGCTGTTGGGAACCCAGTATGTACTGAGGTTGTTTATTCCAAGGAAGCACTTATATGCGGGTGTCTGTGACCTGCAGCCCTCTGGCTGGAAACCTAGCCTAAGGAGTCCTCCTAAGGGGAGGCCGGAGGGGGAGACTCAGTCTGGCCCTAGTCCTTAACCAAGCCGGTCCGGAGCTCCCGCCCACTTGTGTGGCTCTAAGGCAAGAACTGGGAGCAGAGCAGCGGGCCTGTCCTTCTCCCTGTCCTTGCACCCTCCCCTTCCTGGCATGCCCTGGGTAACGTGGGCCCCGGGTGGGCTTTTCCAGACACTTCTCAACAGAGGAAGGGGCAAGAGCCATAAATGGAGTGCCAAGCGTCCCTCCACACCCCCGTATGTTCACCTGCTCTCTCTCCCAGAGGGAGAGCTCTCTCTTCTCCTTCCAGAGGGGAGTCTCACTCTACCAGGGACACACACTCGCTGTAACAAACACACAGCATGTATCGCTGGGGTACCAAATCGCCTCTCTGAGCACTGCTCCATTGCAAGCAAAGCTCTCTTCTCCCTTGGCGTCGACTCGCTGCCTCCAGCATGGGGTCCAGAACCAGGGCCTTCCTTCCCAGTAACACACCCTCACCCTTCCTCCTCTGCTCTCATCCTGGGAAGGAGAGGGCTCGGCAGCCCCTGCCCCACTCTCAGGCTGCCCTCTCCCCTTGGGGAGGGGGGCGTCCCTGTCCTCTGCACCACGCCGGGTGTCCTTCCTGCCGGCCTAAAGGGCACTGTCCCCGCTTGCCTGGCCACTTCCCTTTCTCTACACTCCGCCCCGACAGAGTACAGGAGGAGGTCCTGGGGCTGGAGGACCCATACAAGCTTCTGCCCCCTGCCTTGGCTATTCTAGAGCTGTGGGAGCCTCCAGAGTCTCCTCTCTGGGCCTGGCCTCCTCGCCTGTGGAATCCTGTCCTGCTCTGCCTGTCTGCATCTTCCCACTACACCTTGATGCCCAAGTCCCCCATCTTCAACTACTCCCCCAGACCTCAGCCTTCAGCCTGAGCTTTATGCTCGGTTTACTGTTGTATTCTGATTCCTCACCTCAGACGCCTCATTCAGGCCGCTTCTGGTGGCACCTTAGCCCTGCACCTGTGGCCTGGACAAGCGCCAACCCTAGGGAGCCCTCACTGTCCCCATTTCTGCCACAGAGTTCCTAAAACCCTTGGAATTTCATAAGCGATGAGAGTGATAAAGGTGTCTCGATATTCATAACAACTCCCTCGCAACTATACCTCAGTTTGTGTTAATGAAGTAACTTTCGGAAAACGGCTAAGGATGGGCTGGTTGCCAGGGAAACCAATCATATGATCGAAGGGTTGAAACTTTCAGTCCCACCCCCCTGACCTCTGGGGAGGGGAGAGGGGCTGGAGGTTGAATCAATTGCCAACTATGCCTAATGAAGCCTCCATAAAACCCTAAAGGGCAGGGTTCGGAGAGCTTTTGGGCTGCTGAGCCCATGGTGATGTGGAGAGAGGGGCACTCCTGGAGCAGACACGGAAGCTGCGTATGTTTCCCCATGCTTGCCCAACGGAACTCCTCCATCCGGCTGTTTCTGAGCTATAAGCTTTTATAGTAAACTGGTAATCTAGCAAGAAAAATGTTTCTCGGAGTCCTGTGAGCCACTCCAGCAAACTAATCAAACCCAAGGAGGAAGTTGTTGGAATCTCCAAGCTAGAGTCAGAGCACAGGTGACAGCAGGGACTTGTGATTGGCCAGTAGAGTGGGGGCTGGTCTTGTAGAACTGAGCCCTTGACCTATGGCATCTCACCCTATCTCCAGGTAGATGGTGTCAGAATCAAGTAGAATTGGGAGACATGCAGCTGGTGTTAGAGAACTGCTTGGTGTGGGGGAAGAGCCCACACATTAGAATTGGGTACAGGAGCACCTGGGTGGCTCAGTCGGTTAGGCATTCGACTCTTGGTTTTGGCTCAGGTCATGATCTCACAGTTTCATGAGTTCGAGCCCCAAGTTGGGCTCTGCACTGGCAGCTCGGAACCTGCTTGGGATTCTCTCTCTCGCTCTCTCTGCCCCTTCCTGACTTGTGCTGGCTCTGTCTCTCTCAAAAAATAAATAAAATAAACTAAAAAACAAGAAAGAAAGAAAAGCACAAAACTTTACACAGATTAAAAAAAAAAAAGAATTGGGTACAGAATTGTACCCCTACTCTACTCTTAGTCTTTTTTTTTTTCTGTACCTCTGTACCTACTAAGACATTATATATTTTTCAACATATTTGTTGCTTATTGTGCCCCTCCCCCATGAGAGGGTAAGCTCTGTAGGGAAATGATCTTTGTTTTGTTCAGAGTCGCCCTCTGAGTGCCCAGAACAGTGCCTGGTAGGGAGTGGTACTTTGGCACTACATTTATTGAATGAATGAATGAATGAATGAATGAATAGATTCTGCCTTATTTTAAACCCCTGTTTTCCTACCACAGTGAAGGAACTTGAGGTAGGGACCAGGTTGCCTGGTCCAATGTACGATGTAGGGAGCAATAAATGTTTTTGTAATAGAATCAGTCTCAAGACAAAGACCCATGCCCAAGGGGTCCAGAGAGGGGGCACCAGTGAGGGGCTTCAGTGAGGAGAAGGCCAGTGGGCAGGGTGCCCAGCTTAGGTCCTCCCTTGGGCACCACTTATGGATGGCAAGAGAGGAAGAGAGGCGTTCGCAGGGCTACTGTTCCTCCCAGACTCTGCTGAGCCTTGGACACGTACACAAAGCAGGACAGTGCCCATGAACATGACTCAGGACAATAAAAAGAACCTTTGCCAAGAGGAGACAACCTCAAGAACTTCACATTGACTTCTCTCTTCTGTCTAAATGAGAAGTTCTCAACCTGGAGTTGTATGCAAGATTTGATGGGACTTTTTTCTTCAGGTTCTCAAAGACCCGTATGGCCCAGAAAAGAACCACGAGGCTGGAGAACCTCAGGAGGAGTTCCAGAATTCTCCCCACTCCCTCCCACCACTCCTGCCACTCCCTCCAGCCAGCTCAGAGAATGGAGCAGAGCCTGCTGTAAACACTCACTGACCACCACCATGGGTCTGTGGACGGGCTCAGGCAGGAGACAGGAGAGGCCGTCCTCAGCCTCATTCCCCTTGTCTCTACCCTCACCACGAGTTTCCAGGCTTGAGGATAAATTTGAGTTTATTTTAGGAAAGAAATGTTTAAAGCACACGAGGCACAGAGAAGAAGCCAGGATATGTCAGGGGCCCGAGTCTCTGCTCCTTTCCCTTACGGTTCCTCCGAAGTGTCAGCCCGATGAACTCCGTCAGCTTCACAGCCCCACACCAAGAACCCACATGTTAGCCGAATCACAACAACTTAATCAGTAACCATTACACAGATGGAGAATACTGGGGGTCCTTCCTCGAGCCTGGCACAAACAAGCCCCCAGCTTCATCATCTAGCAGACCTTAATGACCCCCAGACTCCCTTAGCCCTGTCAGAGATGAAAGGAAGAGCCGGCCACGGAGATGTTCTCACCGGTGATGTAGCTGGCATCTGGAGAGCACAGGAAGGACACAAGTCCTGCACAGTCCTCAGGATGCCCGACCCTGGATAGAAGGAGGACAGAACACATGTCAATGATCTCAGACTCTGGTTCTGCTGCTCCAGCGGGAGTGGGCTCCAAGGAGGGACAAGGGTGGACCTGTGAGGGCTATTTGCATCCTCCAGGGCTCTGTGGAAACCAGACTTCAGCTAAAGGAATGACCAGCACCCAGGGAGGGGTCAGCCTGTGAGATAGACCAGCCACCCCTGACCGACTGTACCCAGATTACCAAGGTTCCAAACCCAACTCACCTCTGCAACTGGTAGTTTTCCTTGAAGTTGTTCCAGAAAACCTCATCCTTGTATAACTGGGCAAAGAGAAGACGTGGAAGAGTCAGTGCTGGCTAAAACAAGGAAATGGGCAGGGCCCGAGGTGATCCCATAGCAGACTTGCATTTCTTGGGGGTGATGGACTGAGTCATGGCTGAATTCGGAGGACAATGAGGACCTCAGCTGTTAAGGATGCTGATCTGAGGCTCCAGTCACTCCTTCATCGCTTAGTCATTGGGGAGGTTTCTACTGAGCCAGGCTGAGAAATGGGGGACACGCCCCAATCCTCACCACTTTGCTGAAGTCAGTATTGATTACTCCTGGAACCAGGCAGTTCACTCGGATGCCCTTGGGAGCCAGCTCCAATGACAGTGTCCTGGTGAGGCCCAGCAGGGCCGTCTTACTGACATTGTAGGGACCCAGTTGCTGGGAAGGGAATCAAGACAGTGATTAGGATATCGGGAAGCAAGGATGCCTGGGTGGCTAAGTGTCCGACTCTTGCTTTCAGCTCAGGTCATGATCTCACGGTTCATGGGTTCCAGCCCCACATCAGGTCTGTGCTGACGGTGGAGAAGCTAGTTGGGATTCTCTCTCTCTCCCCCTCCCACACACTCTCTCTCAAAATAAATAAACAACCTTAAAAAAAATTTTTTTTTAAAGATATGGGGAAGCAGAGGAACACATCGGTTGGATTTCTCACCTACAGATGATCCCACCCTGGTCCAAGCAGAGCTCAGACACACTCTCCCCAGGCTGGTCTGAGAACAGAAGCTGGATCTGAGGGACCCAGCAGCCACATGGGCATCAGTTCAGCCTAGGGCAGCAGGAGTAAGGTGGAGGTCTCTCCCAAACATTGTCCCTGTGGTGTTCTGGGGACCCCTTCCCCTAATCCTACCGGGCACACATAAGCAAGAACTTACCGCAACTGGCATATACGCTGAAACGGAGGAGACCAGGATGACCGCCCCCTTCCTGAGAGGAGACAGACATAGGCGAGACAGAAAACCAATAACTTAGCACAGACTGAGGTGCTATTATTTTTTAAAGACAAAACTTTATAATGATAACATTTGAATTGTTAGAGTCCTTGAATAATGCAATCCTCACAATAGCCATTCAGTTCCTGTTGTTGTCCCCATTTCCCGGCTGAGTAAACGGAGGCTCAGCAGGGTTCAGCAACAAAGCCAATAAGGGGCAGAGCTGGGACTCCAACCCTCTCTCTCTCTGACCCAGTGTCTATGCTCTGAACCTTTACACTCTTCTGCCTCTTCTGCCTTCCTGGGGTAGCGAAGAACAGAACAGAAAGCCAGGTGCTTGGGGAATGGGGCAGAGTGGGCTTGGCAAACAGGCCCCCAGGGCTGACAGTGAATGCCTATCAATGGGCGGCCTCTGACAAGCAGATGGGGCACGAGAAGACCAGAAATGAGAGGCAGGAACTTTTCCTTCTATCCAAGCCAGTCCGCAGGCCCAGTTCCGGAAGGGTGTGTGTGCATGGAGGAACCGGAAGAGCAGCTATGTCCTGAGGGAGGTGGTGGCCCAAGTCCCTAACCCGAGACCCCGAGACTGTGTGTGGAGTGGAGTCAGATACACGGGACCTAGAAGCAGGCAGGCTTCCTGGAGACTGAGAAGCAGGACGTGTGGAGGGGCGTCTCCCCGCCTGGCCTGCTGGGAGCAAAGGGGCAGATCTGTCCCAGGCTGTAAGCTGGTGAAGAGGCATTGTCCAGCTGGGAGAGAACCAGAGTGAGGGTGAAAATGACCTGGCCACAAGGCTAAGGAGATAAAAGCACAGCCCTTTCCCAAACATGGTGATGTCAAGGTTAAAGAGAGGGTGCCTGAGCCCCTGGGACATCACCCTCATCCTACAGCCATTAGAATTAGAAGATGCAGCTGTAAAAAAGGGGGGTGGGGTGTGGAGACAGGACACAGACATAGGACAGGGAGGGGAACGTGGCGATCCCAGGGACACCTCTTTTGTCCTCCCCTCCCGGCTATGGCCCCATGTTCTCTAGACTCAGTTCTTGCCCTGCCTCCCCTCCAGGCCCCACCCCCACCCTGAAACCTACCCCCTCTTCTCCATGTGAGGCAGCAGCTGGCTCAACATCAGGGCCGGGGCCTTCACATTCACGTCCAGGATCTGAAGTCAGAGCAGAGGCGTGATGGAGGGCACAGAGACACAGCCCAGGGCCTGTTCTCATAGGACACACGGGGTCCTAGAATTGGTGCAATAAACCCAGATAGCCGCATATCTGAGATCAATTCCCCTTCCCATCAGGACAAGAGGTGCTTCCGGTTTAACAGGCAGGCAGGCTAAGTGGCAGGCCTGTGAAATGTGAATTGTTCAGGACTGGGGTGAAGGAGGGCGGTGTTCAGGCCTTTTAAAGAAACTGGACTATGTCCTGGTTGTGCAGACAGAAGCTATGCGCAGAGGCCACTGGAAAAAAGATTGAAAGTAGAACGGATGGAGGGAATGTAGGTGCTGGGAGCAAAGGAGATTTCTGGAAGAGTTGTCTTTGTGTTTCCACTGGTTTATGTCTTTGTCTTGTCCCAATAGAATTTAAGGTGTACACACAATGCAACAGCATAAAACAAATCAAATTGGTATTATGTGTGAAGAAATGGAGAACAGTAAAAAAAAAATAAGTGTAGAAAAATAAGAAAAAGCAAGAGTAAGGTTGGTGCCCACAGTTCACAGCTGGTGGTAAGAGCTGAGCATTATTCTATGATTCGTTCACAAAAATGCAAGCTGTGAGGGCCTACGTGCATGCCAGTTTACTGCGCACTTGGCTCTGAGCTTTCCTGCGGCCACCACAAAGAGGGAGACGTAACAGAGAATCGCCGTCCTGGAGTTAGGTGCCCACGCTGAGCCTGCCTGCAACCAAAACCTGGATCTGGACTCAGACATAAGGGTCCCTGACCCTCTGTCTAGGAACTGGGTCTGGTGGGACTGGGGACAGAGGAAAAGTCCGAGAGGAACTGGCAGGCAAAGATGCAGAGACCTTGAGGGCTAGATGAAGGCTCCTTACTGTCCCTCAGATGAACCTGCCATCTGGGTTCAGGACAGAGTGCCAGCTGGGACTAACATGGCAGCAGGGTCCCTCCTGTGGGCCACCGCCTCGAGTGAGGTCAGCGAGTCTGTGTCTCTAGGGAGTGAGGCTGCACATCTGCGATGCCACGTTTTCACCCCACACTCAAGCACCCCCTTGGACACGGGCAGGGGAGATGCTGGGCCAGTGTGATGACAAGCTGCCAGTGTTGGGGATGACCCCCAGGACTATAAGAAGTGGCTCAGATGGCTAAAGGCAAGAGAGCATGAGATCTCTGATAAGAAGGAACTGAGGCTTAGACGAAGGGACTTCCTGGTCATTCTCTGTTCGAAACAGACCCCCGCCATCCCGCCGATGTCTGCCCTAAGCTCCATGGATGTCAGGCTGGGTGATGGGCTCAGACAGGGCCCCTCTAAGACTCAGCAGCCTAACATGAGCCAAGGAAAAGGTTCGAGCCCCTCCCCTGCTGAAGAGGACTGCCCTCTTGGAAAATCAGGAAGTGTCTCTGGGCGCCACGAAGTCCTGAGTAGAGATTGTGGGGCTGAGGAGGATGGATGCTAGAGAGTCTTCAGGCAGGAGACGGGTGGAGGAGAGGCGGAGGGACGGGAGATGGGAGATTTCCCAACCAGCCGGAGAAAATGGGGGTCTGCCTGGGGAGGCGCTCAAACTGGCCTAGGATAAGATGAACAAGAAGGAACTCCCAGGACACCTGCTGAAAACTGCATGCAGAGAGAGCGGCAGGTCAATGTCACACTCGTTTTGTGACCCTTTCACCTCTGAGGTGGTGGCAGATGTGCCCAGAGAGGACTTCTACCCAGTGGGACAGACAGCTCGCAGACTAGCAAGACCTTGGAGAACAGGGTAGCGGCACAGAAAGCAAGGCCGGGCTGCGGGCAAGTGCGGTCAGCTTCAGGAAAGAAGATGTGAAATGGGTTCTGGGGAAAGAAGAGTCTAAGACACTAAAAGGGAGAATGACTCAGGAGGGTTAGGAGACGGGCAGCCATGCGGTCCCAGCTACTTCATCACAAACAGTCCTTCGGAGGCCTCGGGAGGCTGGGGAGCCTGAGGAGGCTGCTAGCAGCAACTGCGGGAGCTCAGACTTCAGGTCATCTCAGAGGATGGAGGAAAGGGTAAGCGGCCAAGGGCAGCAGCACAGGAGAGGCGGCCCTTGAACCATGTCTACGGAGCGCAGAGAGCTGGGGAAGGCAGAAGGGAGTGTTCTGGCCAGTGCTTGGGATGAAGAGGGGGGCTAACAAGGTGATTTCATTGCAGTCCGTCTTGTCTGGTAGAGGGACTCGGAAACCAAAGACAGGAGTGAATGGCTCGGGAGTCCTAGGATAACAAAGCTCAAAGTAGACCTCAAGACATTTTGCAAGGCCCCTTCTGGACCCTGTGGCTCAGGTGGCAGGATCATCAGGTGGAAGGCAGTGGGTTGGAATGTCCAGGCTCATGGGAAGCCGATGGCCGGGCCCAGGCCCGACAGGTGTAGCAGCAGGTTCATCTGAGGGACAGTAAGGAGCCCTCATCTAGGAAGGGTGAAGAAAGAGTCTCAACGGCAGGTACAGGTCACCAAAAAGGGGCAAAATCACCACACACAAAGAAGTAAAATATATCTGCTGTCAACAAAGAGCAGAGACCTTACTATTCTTGACTCTTACTAGGAGCAGAGACCTACTCCCACAGCTGTAAAGCCAGAGCCTGGAACAGCGCCTGGCACATAGCAAACACTCAATAAATATTTGCTGAATGAATAAGTGCAAAAGGGATGGGAAGGGAAAAAAGAAGGCAGCAAGAATGTAGGAAGCTGCTTTAAACACACCCACATGGGAAAGGAGCAGCGGAGCACATTCCAGGGGACAAGTGGTCAGTGCCTGTTTTCACAGTAACTTCAGGGGTTGGGGGGGCAGAGTCTCAACAGGGGAGCACGTCAGACCCCTCTGCCAGCTCCCAACAGCAGCCTCTCACCTTGTCCCACACCTGCTCACTGGCCCCCAGGGTGCTTTCCACCAGCGGGAAGTTGACGCCTGCACTGCACACCAGGATGTCGAGACCCCCACAGTGCTCCAGGACCTGGGGGAAATAGTGACATGAAGGGCAGACGCGGGGAGGCCTCCCCTCCCAGCACCGTGCCAGGCACACAGGGCATTGAGGCAACCCTTGCTAATTAGATATTGTCTCGACCAGGAATGGTCACAAAGCTGGTGTGAGAACCCAATACTGGGGGAGGCAAATGCCCTAGACAGGCCCAAGGATGGGCTCTGCAGAGCTGAGGGCCTCAGGAGAGGAAGGTCTGTCTGCTCCAGGAATCCATCTACGCCTGAGATGGGGAATCCCTTTAGATTCCTCCTCAACCACAGTTCTCCAGGGCAAGGGTCCTCTTTCCAGAAACCCAGCGTGAACAATGAGGTCTACCCGCTGAGACCATGAGAAATCCTGGTTTCCAGACTTTTGTCAGGCCCCCCAGACCCCACCCCAGTCCCTGCCCCACAGAGTGGGAAGGGCTCTGCGCATTCTCCTCCCCATGTCCTTCTACCCCTGTGGCCCCTCACCGAGTCCACCAGACGCTGCCGGGCCTCGGCCTTCCCCACGTGGCACACGGTGCCCACCACGCTCAGCCCCTCCCCCTGCAGCGCCGCCACTGCGCGGTCCACGTTCTGCTGCTTCCAGCTGCTGACCACCACGCGGGCCCCGTCCCGGGCCAGGCGCCGGGCGATGGCGAAGCCGATCCTGTGGCAGAGATGGAGGGAACAAGACAACCTCAGCCCCTTGCCACCAAGGTCCCTCGACTCAGCCCTGGAAACCAACAAGGCTGCGTCCTGATCTACAACCCGGAGGCACCTCTGTGGAAGCAAGAGTCCTTGTGAGGGCTCGAGACCCAGAGGGCAATCAGGGCACTTACCCATCAGTGGACCCCGTGACCACGGCCACCTGGTCGGCCAGGAGGGCCTGTTGGCTTATCCCACTGCCGCTCATGCGCACAGAGAGCCTAGCACGGAACGGAGCAGGCTTCTGTGGACCCAGGCCACTGTTGGGAGCATGGCGGCCAGTTCCTTTCTGTGCTTCCTGCCGAACTCGGCCCTGGAGGAGAGAGTCAACTTCACCTATCACTGGTGCGTGAGTGAGCATGATGGTAATCTTCCCCCAGCTCCTGCAGACGGACAAGGCCAGCAGCAGAGAGCCAGAGAGAGTCTGGCTAGGCAGGGTGAATTTCAAACAGGTGAGCCTCAGGTCAGGCAAACTCTGTGTGAAAAGTCTCTATTTATAACACAGGCAAATTAGAGCGTGAGACCCACCATTCGGTAGACAGGATTCTTTTCCCATTCATTCCATGACCAAGCACGGAGCACTTGCAACATGTCAGATAAAGTAGACCAAGGTCCTGAGCGCCTGCATGACATGCTCACCAGGCTGTGCTGTAGTGAAGCTAATGGAATAGAGGCTGTGTGGAGCCTAAGCCGGACAAAGCAGCCCCACGCCAGGCTGCAGGGTACAGAGCCGTGCCCTTTGGACGCCCTCAGGAAGGAAAGGGGTAGGTCTGTGCAGGTGTGAAGGCAGGGTGAGGACCTGGTGTGGAAGACTCACACATGCAGACACTGTATGAACCGGGGATACATGAGAGAGGTTTGCGTAGGGAACCCTCTTTCACTGAGACCCCAAATTTCCCAGCTCCACATCGGTGTGAGCGCAGAGGCTCCTGCCTCCCCCCAGTGTGAGATTCCCATTTTCTTGCCCAGGAACCCTGTGGGGTCCTGAATCTAGAAGTCTGAACCTTTTCCTGCAGGGAGGCAGAGGGGAAGGAATGGTTGGAGAAAAGGGTCACTGAGGATATGGCAGGGACTCAGGATATACTTTTCAGGTAGGATAGTGCCAGGAAACTGAAGAGACGCGGTCCCTGGTGGCTCTGGCCTGGAGGGGCCATCAGACACACACTTTCAGGAGGCCCTGGTGCGGGCTGACTGTCCGCAGACCCTCATCGGTCCCAGACCTGCCCCAGCCACTCCAACACCAGGGGACTCCTCGTTACTAAGCAACCCTTGCCATACCTACTGCAGCTCCCTTGTTCCTTAGCAACCAACCTTTACATAACCCAGTTCCCTCGAGTTTGGGGTCCGTATCTGTAATAATAAATGAATGGGTGCTGCTCAGGAATTAGGGAGACATTTCAGATTAAATATCAGTTTGTATCCATGTCACAATGAAGATAATCAAATGGTCTGCTTTAAGAGACAGCTGTGGTTTCAAATTTATGTCTCTTCGGATACCATATTTCCAAAGACACCCTTTGCAGGTCCTAGACCTCGTCTCCTTTTTGTCCTAAGCTGCTGTCACTCTCCTCTCTCTCACATGCTCTCTCTTTTCTGCCAAGGTCATGTATCTATCTACAGCCTTCCAATTCCAGAGGATGAAGGGTTTCAGCTTCTGATTTTTCTACCGTTCCTAAACAGGACACCAGATTCTAAACACTGTTATGACCCCTGGGGGACTTCTCTACCCCCAGCTGTGAGCACAGATTAACCCCACGAAGCTCAGGGGAATTGGTCTCCTTGGCTGGGAGGGCAGCAGGAAAAAAGAGAACTGGAATTTTGTCAGGATGGGCTGCCCCCTGCTGGAAGACCAGAGTTATGGCACCTCTGAGAAGCTGTTAGCATACCGGCAAGTCTGTGGCTGTCCCCTCCTCCTTTCTACAACAGTTCTTACCAAGCCTGCTCCTTTTTAAACTTGCCGCGAGATGGTCTGCAGGAAAGCTGTCCTACTTGTAGGGAAAAAAGCAGCTGTGGCCTTTTGCAGGTAGAAAGCATGGAGAGACTGGGCAGGCCCCGTCTGTCTGTCTTGGTTCTCCTTCCCATTCCAGGTTCCTCTTTCCCAGGGCCTGAGACTGAGCAGCTTCCAAGGGCCCAGGCTCTTGCTCAATCTGCCCTTGTCCTCACTTCTGCTTTCCTCTAGAGCAGTCAGCAGGGCCAGCTAGGCCAGAGTCGACCACAGGTCCTGGGAGCTTAGAGTAGCCTCTGAGCCTGGCACTGTCCACCCTGATCCCCCTTTCCGTGCTGATCAGTTCAGTTGCCCAGAAGTGGAGGTGGGGAAGCCAAGTGGGCACACCCTCAACTTAGTCCCATCTTGGAGCTGGATGGCCTTCACCAAAGAGAAAAGAAAAGGGAAAAGCAAAGAAAAGATTAGGGGAAAGACATACAGTAGTTAGAAACATTGAAAATCAGCAAAGAGAGAGATGAGGCAGATATCTACAGAAGGTGCGTGATTTGGGCAAATCTGTTCCCTACTCTGGCTCCAGCTGCACCTGGGTAAGATGAGGCGCTGAGTTGGGGGACCCTAAGGGCTCTGATAGCCCCCAAAAGCTTTATTATGAGAATCAAAGAAAAAAACAAAGACAGCTGCAGACAGAGCCAGGGAGAAAGAAGCATCCGCATGCAAAATAAAAAAGAGTGAAGGTGGGCAGTAGTAGTGACATGGACCCCAACGCAGCCAGCCGTTTGCTGGGCCACATTGTCCCTGCTCTGGTCTTACCTGGGTATGCTCTTGTCGTCGTTCTTGAGTGCAGGTCAGGAGCCCTTCTGCTGGAGAGCTTGCAGCTGACTGAGTGTGAGGATGTGAGGAGACAACAGACTGGGTTCCAGGCACTGGGACTCTATCTGAAAAACTCAAGGATTCTTGAAATCCACCTTCTTAAAGTTACGAAAGGCAAAGGTGAAAGACAGAGGTGAGAAAAGCCCTCCCCCACAGCTGGGGAGGAAACTTGGGAACAGGGGTGGCCCGGGGGAAAGTGCAGGACATGCTGTGTGAGTAATTGTCTGCAGAATGTCACACATGCCATTCACCAGGAACCCAGTCCTGTCAGTCCAGCTGTCCCTAGACACTCACACAACAGAAGCAGACAGACCCAGGGCTCACTTAGCTGGTTGGGGAGGCAGTGCTGGGGACAAAGCCACAAAGATACTTCTATAAGCACAGAGAGGAGACTGTGGGCCTCAGCCCCAAAGCCATGAAACAGGCCCTACCATCTGGATCAAGGGATCAGGCCCCTCGCACTATACGGGACTAATGGCTGTAGGGTTCCAGATGCACTTCTGTTCCATCCACGTAGTTCCATCCAGGTGGCTACCCACCGCCCAGGCTGTCCCATAGTCTCAAATATTTGAATGGGCACCTGCTTCCTGCCGGGCACTGCATTAAGTACTGTGAACATCAAAATAATGAAGGGACAGTCCATACCTTTGAGAAGATTACAATCTGATGGAGAAATCAAACAAATGAAGTGCAGAGTGCTACATGTTAAAAGAGAAGTAGGTTGGGAATGCAAACTGGTGCAGCCACTCTGGAAAACAGTTTGGAAGTTCCTTAAAAAGTTACAAATAGAACTACCCCATGGCCCAGCAATTGCACTACTAGGTATATATCCAAGGGATACAGGTTTTTGAAGGGACACATGCACCCCAATGCTTATAGCATCACTATCAGCAATAGCCAAACTATGGAAAAAGCCCAAATGCCCATCAACAGATGTATGGATAAAGATGTGGTGTGTGTGTGTGTATGTGTGTGTGTGTATGTGTATGTGTATATATATATATATATATATATACATACATACATATATATACATATATATACATACATATATACATACATATATATACATATATATATACATACACACACACACACACACGCACACACACATTCAATGGAGTATTACTCAGCAATCAAAAAGAATGAAATCTTGCCATTTGCAACTACGCGGATGGAACTAGAGGATATTCTGCTAAACAAAATTAGAGAAAAGCAAATATCATATGACTTCACTCGTGAGGAATTTAAGAAACAAAACAGATGAATATAAGGGAAGGGATGTGGGTTCTACTCCACATCTTGGCATTTAAGGGTGTTTCTTTATGTCCCCTTTATGAGAGTGACAGATTAAGGAAAGAAAAAAATGCAGAATGCCTGGTTAAATTTAAAGTTCAGATAAACAAAAAGTGATTTTGGAGTAGAAAAGTATGTCCCAAGAATTGCATGGGACACGCTTATAGGAAAAAACTTATTCCTGGTTTATTTGAAATTCACACTTACCTGGGCATCCTGTACTTTATCTAGCAACCGTACCTTTTAATGCTGGTGATAATGATTCTTTATTTTTAAATCTTTTTAAAATGTTAATTTATTTTTGATGGGGGGGCAAGGGGGGAAGGGAGGAGAGAGGGGGACAGAAGATCCAAAGCAGGCTCCGCGCTGACAGCAGAAAGCCCCAGAAAGCCCAAAGCGAGGCTGGAACACAGGAACCATGAGATCATGACCTGAGCTGAAGCCAGACGCTTAACTGGCTGAACCACCCAGAAGCCCCAGTGGTTCTTCAGAGAATAGAGACAACTGTCCGCTTCTTTATTTTTCATTCTTTTTTTCAGCTTGTTAATTGATCTGAAAAGAGCTATCAAAATTGTATAAATGTAACATCCCTCTGAGATGAAGAGCAACTATTATTTATAAAATATATTTAAATGATACCACTACACATGGGTACAGTCTCCTTGCATCCGTTTTCATAAAGTACATGGGCAAAAGCCAAATTCCTACTTTTGGTTCCCAAAAGCAACCACAGTTAATGGTGTGTTCTTCTAAAATTTTTCTGTGTGCTTGCATGCATATGTGAGTATAGAATATGTCGATTTGTTTCGTGTGTTAGTGGGTGTCATATTGTAAACACTATCCCATTGTTCTGTAACTGGTTACATGATGGTTCATATAGATCTACCTCATTATTTTATTTTTGAAAGCTGCATAATATTCCACAGAATAAATATTGTCCCCGTTTAGCCATTCTCAAAGCATGGTCTGAGACCCCCCTGAGGAATCATTTTATGAGGTCTATGAGGTCAAAATTATTTTCATAATAAGAGTAAGATGTTATTTGCCATTTGTGCCCTGACTCTCACAAAGAATACAGTGTAGTGTTCCAGAGGCTACATACACATATGTGATGATGTCATTGCTCTGACATCTAATGAAATGTGTACGTATATGTCTTATGTTTTCCAAAATTTTCTAAAGAAGTAAATTTGGGATGTAAATATGTGCCTTCTCAAGATAGTAACTTAATTTGCTCTCAGACTTGCTAGCTATCTTCAGTTATACCTTCCACAGTTTCGATATTATTGTCCAATAAATTATTATTTTGAAATCCTGGAATTTTCTTGTACTCGTATAGAAGCACAAGAAACAAATACACATTACCTTGTTTTGAAATAATATTTTAAAATATTTTTTCACTGAGGGCTGATGGGGGTAGGGGTGAGGGGAAGGCGGGTGATGGGCATGGAGGAGGGCACTTGTTGGGATGAGCACTGGGTGTTATATGGAAACCAACTTGACAATAAACGGTGAAAGAAAAAAATATTTTTCAAAAAAGCTTTCTAAATTTTGCAGTTTTATCTGAAATTGTTAAAATGTAATAGTATTATATTCTAACACATAAAATCACTTATTTACATTATATTTTTCCTGATATTCAAGGATTCATCATTGGCTTAAGAAACATAGATTAGAAGACTTGCTTCCTCAACCCACAGCTGCACCATCTATGTCTAAAAATACTGGAAAAGATGAAAATGGGATATCAAGAGAGCTCTCTGACTAGCGGAAGGGAAGGATGTACTCCAAAGAAATTGTGCAAAAGTAAGTAAGAAACAAAAATATGAAAGGGGCACCTGTGTGGCTCAGTGGGTTAAGTGTCTGACTTCAGCTCAGGTCAGGGTCTCACAGTTCATGGGTTCAAGCTCTGTGTCTGGCTCTGTGCTGACAGCTCAGAGCCTGGAGCCTGCTTCGGATTCTGTCTCCCTCTCTCTCTGCCTCTCCCCTGATTGTGCTCTGTCTCTTTCTGTCTCTAAAAAAGAATAAGTAAATGTTAAAAAGTGTTTAAAGAAACAAAAATAAGATGAAATCTAGATTTTTCTCTACTAGATATTAGCAGTTTATCTTATTATGTGTTATGCAACGGATACATGTTGAATAGTATTCTAGCACTAGGGAAGATGCAGCATCATTTTGAGACCATTCAGAGTTTAGAGAAAAAGGAACTGCCTGTTTTAAATGTAGACATGATGAGCTCTTTAAAAGCCAAAAAAAATTTCCTAGAGCTTTTCAAAGTAGAAATGAAAAAGTCACTGACTGTATCTTACAGGGTAAGTTATCACATTGTATCAGCTGGAGAAGTGCACACAACAGCAGACAGATAATAAAGCCTTGTGCACAGACACTGCCCAGTATCTTGCCAGAGGAAGTCAGTGAAAGAAATCCTGGGCACTGTCACTTTTATTCCACCTGAGTTTATTAGCCAAATAAGTTCATATTATCTCTTATAAGATCTGCCAAAAGAAAGGTAGCTTAGGATAATGACTGATTTGTATAATGTTTAATAAAGTTTTGTGGGTAATCTAAACAATCCTTTTTTTTTATGTCTATTTATTTATTTTTTTTTTAATTTTATTTTTTTTAATGTTTTATTTATTTCTAGGAGAGAGAGAGAGAGACAGCGTGAGCAAGGGAGGGTCAGAGAGAGAGGGAGTCACAGACTGAAACAGGCTCCAGGCTCTGAGCTGGCAGTCAGCACAGAGCCCGACGCGGGGCAATGTCTATTTATTTTTGAAAGCAGGAGAGTGCAAGCAGGGCAAGGGCAGAGAGAGGAGGGTGGCAGCGAGCTCTATGCGGGGCTTGAACTCTCAAACTGCAAGATCATGACCTGAGCCGAAGACGGACACTCAACTGACTGAGCCACCCAGGTGCCCTAAATAATTCTTTTTTTTTTTTTTAATGTTCATTTATCTATTTTGAGAGAGAGAGAGAGGCATGTGCATGCATGTAGGAGAGAGGCAGAGAAAGACATGGGGAGAGAAAATCTCAAGCAGGCTCAACAGTCATTGGCGCAGACCCTGACTGGGAGTATGGGGGCTCGGTCCCACAAGCGTGAGATCATGACCTGAGCCAAAATCAAGAATCAGACACTTAACTGACTGAACCACCCAGGCACTCCGGTAATCTAAACAATTATGAAAAACAAGTGAATTAAATAGATGTAAGCAACATAAAAGTTTATAAATGAGCTTTTCAGCAATAGTCATGTCTACTTAGATGGTTTCCCCAAATCTTTTCAGTAACATAAAATCTTTGCTAACCTAAAACCTAAAGTTAAGTGGTGAGTTCACTTAACATCATTGAATATCCCCTTCTCAGGACCATTTCCCAAGAAGATAAAATAATATATCTAATATATTGTTAATTGATGAGGGAGCATGAGGCAAGCTGAGGGCAAAATACAGGCTGGCACCCCACCCCACTCCCGCCCCAGGTAGAATATGTGTGATATTCCTCAGACAGTCCTGGCTACCCAAGAACAAAGGAAGGGGTTGAAGTGCTTGCCATGGTAATGTGGGAAACTGAGGCAAATGAAAAATTAAATTCCCTTACTGCCTACAGCCCATTGATAAGTCCTTGACAGGGACAGAATGACTGACCTCCCTCTAG